AGAAAGGCAGAGTGAAAACCAGGGTGAGGAAAGGAGTTGTGAAGTTGGTAAGGAGTGTGGAGTGCTGTGGCAGACGGAGCAAGGACCTGCTATGTGTGACAGGAAAGCACAGCTAGTGCTGTCTCACAGAAGTTTTATTCAACGTGGCACCAAAAAACCCCTTTCAGATGGGCTCTACCTTGAACTAAAATCAAAGCGAAAATTTCTGCTGCCTCCACTCCTGGAAAGGGTCCTTGGATCTCAGCGATCAGGGACAGGTCAGCAAGGAGCAAAAAGGGGTAAAACCCATCAGCTAGAGGCAGGACACACTGGAGAGCTGACACCCACAAGGGGAAGGCTGTGGCTTGCTCTAGGATGCGTACTAGATAGGAATGTCAGATGCTGACAGAATTCCCAAGATTCTTCTAGAAGAAGCTTGAAATCCAGATTTTTCACATGAAAACTACCAACTTTTAAAAGTGAGTCAATGACTGTAACAACAAACCAATAGGCACTGAATAAACCAAACAGTACATCTATGACCTGCGAGCCAATAATCTGCATCTTTAGAACATGGAGAGGATAAAGTCAGGTTTCTTAACCTCTGCGTCAGAACCTCAGCACTGATGTAGCTGGTACTTGACAACTCTCTGTTGTTGGTGCTGCCCTGTGCATTACAGGGTGTTCAGGAGGACCCATGGTCTCAACCAAAAGATGCCAACTGCAAGCCCCACTTAAGCCATGTCAAGCTCAAGAGCTAGAAGGTGACTCGGTAGTAGAGTGGTTACCCTATGCAAACCTCTAAAAGCCTCCAGACATTGCCCAGTGTCCCCTAGGGAAAGGGCCTCTGGCTGAGAGTCATTGAATTACAGCAACATCCAACTCACAGCCTCCAGGATTTCATGGAAGTGTCACTGAAACTCAAACAAGGGATTTCTCTCCTAAGAGTGGCCAGATGAAGCACCATGTCTGTCAGATAGTTAAGATGTTTGTTCATAAACATAATGCTTATCCTGGTGAAAAGGCAGCCTGCGTTTTGTGGTCAGAAGCACAAAGGGTGTAGAGGCAGAAGGCCATACCATGTCCTGTGCTGGCCACTTACTAGCTCTGCCAACCTGGCAAGTAATTTTTCCTCCTTCATAAAATATAAATGGTGGTCACTGTGTGTGAGAACCAGGCCAGGAGTTCAGGTGTAGCCTTCTGTAAGCTACGCCACTGTAGAAATGTAGCGCTGGTGCTGCCAGCCCTCCTAAAGAGATCAGCAAAAGAAAAACCAGCTTTTCAGCAAAGCCAGAGCTCCAACGATGTCTTGTTATCAGGTAAAGAAGGCAAGAGAAAAACAAAACAAAACAGGGACTGTTAACTTCCAGGTCTTCTGAGATAAGCAGTTGCCAATGACAGAGCCACAGGTCACATTTGGCCACAAATAATTTTGTGTAGTGTAATGTGATATAGTGCTTGTTCAACTTGAGTTAAAATGCCATCTAATGTTCATCTACATTTAGGCATTTCAATCTACATTTTAGACATTGTCATGCGAATAGTCCTACATCCTCCTAGTTACATCTCTCCAATCTCTTCTTGACCCCTAATCCCATAACTTCATGCTCCTCATCCTCCCCCCTGAATTCCAGGCAGCAACATCCTCCCTCCAAGAGACTATCTGCCTCTACTGATAGCCAAGTAGTTTCATAGAGAATGTCTGTTGTTCTTTGTTGCAAAACTACAGAAGTCCTTATTAGTGCCTGGCCATTCTCCTCCTGCTGGTGACAGCACCCCAGCTTACTGTGGGGAACCAGCACTCCTTCACTCTCAGTCCATGTGGTTTGGGTGGAGTTGACTCCATTCCATTTCTCACGGAAGGCACATGACCCAGACACTAAGCCAATCCTGAGACTCTGGCCAGTCACAAAGATTCTTTCCCTCTGAGACTTGCATGAGGATAATGAAAGACTGGGAATGTGGAGGGGTTGTCCCTGTGAACACTGTCTAAAGAGAGAAATCCCTGGATTCTACCAAACCAAGCACAGGGAGGGCTGAGGCAGGAGGACCACAAGTTCAGGTACACAGAGCCACATGCAACAACAAAAGCCGCGCTACTCTTAGACTCCTGCTCATGTGAGTCAATGAATTCTTCTTTGCTTAGGCACCTTGAACTGGGTTTTCTTACCACGAGAAGAAACCTAATTCTTCCAAGAAAATTTGAAAGGGGTACTTGAAGGTGGAAGGAAGGAAAACAAAAGACCCTGCTCACATCCTTCTCCTGAGAGAAGCTTCTGTGACCTCGACCATTAAGTGGCAGCCAGGCTCTCCTCCATGCACTTGCCATCCTTCTGGAAGCATTATCTCAGGTATACAATTGTCGCAGGTGTGCCTATCTCCTCCACATATCTACTGAGCAGCTTCGGGGCAGGAATCTTCTCATATTTGCCTTTGATTCTTTAATACCTTGTACAGTGGTACACAGTGTGGGCTCAAGTGTTCACTGAACATCTGATCAACAAAGAGGATGTGGGCAAAAGAACCTTGCTTGAGACAACTACATCATGAGACCACCTCATAGGCCTTGCCCACGTCCCCAAATAGACTCATCCATCCACTGTACACAAATGACATCACGAGAACTCATTCTTTCCAGGCATTACTAATCCTCCACACATAGGTCTCACGGAACTTCACCATGGGTTTACTCACAAGCTTTCCATCCTTCAGGACTACCTCACTGGGAGATACCAGCTCGAACTCTCAGAACTGATAAACAGACACACCATGGGCATTTTCATGCATAATTTCCTTCTCTGTCCAGATCATAGCTGGGAGAATCTGTGCTAGAAAAGCATTCGCCTTTATCCAAACATACCTACAATACGGTAATGGTGCCTACTAACCACCTGCTTCTAAGCAGTAACAATTCTTAGCTTTGTCCTCCTTTGTGTTTCCTTTCTACCCCTTTAGGATTACTTAAGGAGAAAAAAACACAGATCTAGGAATCAACAGCAAGAGAGCAACAGGTTTGTTCCCCCCAGTAAAAACAGATGTTCTGACTTTAGGCTCATAACTACCACACCCTTAATAACTCTATAATAGCTGCAGCTTCCACTGGCATCTAGCAATAAAGATTTTCAGAGTCAAAGGTCGGGGCCAGAATTACAGTCCTAGTATGAATCACCGCCTACTCTATCCAGTTCACATTTTCCCATACTTGGGCCCACAGCAGAAGGCAATGTAGTTAAGTGCCAGAACCAGGGAATTAACAATGGTGATGGCTCATCTGCCATGGCACAGGAGCCAAAGATCTTGGGAATCAAAGGCAACATAGGAAAGGCTCTCAGGGTGATTAGCCTAATGGTGAACACAAGCAAGATGATCACAGAAAAGCAGGTAGTACACAGTATTAAGACAACGCCCAGTTGGGTCATGGAGAACCTTCCAAGAGCACAAAGACCATCCCTGAGTGATCTGAAGAATAAGAGGTATCTGTCAGGTGTGGTCAAAGACGCTTCTGAGTCTTCCAGGAAGAAGCTAATGCAGAAGAAACACTGGCCTCCCATGGAAACTGAAAGTGGGTAAGTGTGGTTGCAATGCCAAAGTAGAAAGGGGGGCTAAGGGGAAACAGGAGCCAAAGGGACCCTCACTGGCTTTCAGAACTTTGTATGAAATCAGCAATTGTCCCTTACCCCTATACAATGCAAAACCAGAAAGAAAACAACAACTATCTAACAAATATATACTGGTATTCACTAAATTTTGATTATACCATGCATACCACTGAGAACTCAGAGAGATACAGAACGCACAAGAAATGATTATTTCTCAAAATGTTTCTTGCTGGAGCCATTAGCCTCCCATCACTATCCACTGCTATCTTCCTTTAGGCTTTATTTCTTTCATTCCCCTTACAAGTACCAGAAAAGCAAGCATGCCTGGGCTTTAGGGACAGGGACTGATGGATTCTTGATAAAGAATAAATGCGTGCCAAGATTACACGGTGGGGACTTTTTAGAAACAGAGTAACAAAACTTTGCAAAAAGCTGTAGGAAATGAAACACTGTAAAAAGCAAATTTAGAAAACTCAAGAGGAAGTAAAAGTATCTTCTTACACACACAAAAAAAGAAGTGTCTCATGTGCTTCAACCAAACCAAACTCCCCTTAACTGTTGAGGGAGCGGTGAGAGCTGTGAAAAATTCATACATCTCTGTGCAGAATAAACAGCAAATTGGTCCAGCACAGCTAGCTGCCCTGCAAAACCTTGAAATACTTGCTCCAGATAACAGAGCACATGACAGCTGCCTCCAGGAGCTCTAAAAACCACAAATTGTTTCTGCTCCAAAGCCCGCTCTGCTGCAATCCCCCGTGTGTTCTTTCATTTAAAAATCAGTGTTTCTTATCAAGCATTCAGGCAGTACGAAAAAAAACACGAAATAGTTTTTTTCACATCCAAGGTGAGAAAGACATCCTTTTCCCGTTCCAAAATTCTGAAATGTCAAGAACTCGGCAGCCAGCAAGTTCCTATTACCTGGATTTTTGAGCCTGCACTTCCCAGTTCCTTCCAAGGGCGTCTCAGCTTCACCAAGCAAGCCCCCATTGGCCCAACACCCCTTCGGCGACTCATGGCCAGTGCGCACTTCTAGGAAGAGGGCTCGCAACGGCGGGTCACCCCGGAAAGCTTGGCAGCGCCGCCCCCAAGCCGCGAGCTTGGCACTGCGTTAAGCACAGCAGGGATCCGAGGCGCAGCACCAGGCGACGAGCTCCCGCTGGCTCGCGCGCTAAGCACAGTTAAAAGGGTCGGGTCTGGTCCCGCCAGAGCGACGCTCCTCGCGCAGGGCCGTCCCCAGCACGGACCCGGAGGGCGGCTGCAGAGGAGCTGCAGGGGCCGCGCAGCCCGGGCCCAGCGTGGCGCAGCCTCTCGTCCAGCCGGCCTCAGCGGGCCGCGCCCGGGTCCCGAGCCTCCCGCCGCGGAGTACCGGCCCGCCCCCAGTCCCCCACCCCGCGCTCCCCGGAGCCCTCCGCGAGCACTCGCCTGCCCACGGTCTGGTTGGCCAGCTGCTTCATGCGGTTGAATTGCTTCTTCATGGCGGCGGCGGCCCGTGCGGCTCCGGCCGGGCTAGTAAAGGACGGCCTGGCGGCGCCTACATCGCTTCGCAGCCCAGGAGGCGGCGGCGGCGGCGGCTCCCCTTGCGGCCCCGCCCTCGTAGCGTCACTTCCAGCGCCGTCGCCCGACAGCCCGCCCCAAGAGATGCACCGAGCGGAGCCGAGCTGAGCCGAGCGGGACCGAACCGGAGAGGAGGAGCCGAGCCGAAAGGGGCGCAACTGAGCCCAGCGGGGCGGAAACTGGGGAGAGGGAGCCGAGACCAGCCGAGACCCGAGAGGAGGAGCCGAGCCGAGTGGCCGAACCGGACTGGAGGAGCCGAGCCGAGAGGGGCGGAGACAAACCGAGCGGCCGACCCGGAGAGGTGGAGTCGATCCTGTCTGGGAGAAGCGGAGCTAGGCCGGACGGAACGAAACCGAGCCCAGCCAAGCCGGGCCGGGCTGGGCAAGGCCGAGCTGAGGCTGAAGGGAACCGAGTGGGTCGGAACCGTAAGCGGCCCAGCAGATCCGAGCAGGGCCGGACGGAGCCGAGCCAGACCGAGGGGGAGGAAGCGACCTAGAGGAGAGCTCCAGGACCCCGACGCCGGAGCCCCTGCTCTCTGTCCTGCTGGGCGCCTGCTAAATGGCGCCGCAAGAAACCCACCTGTGCCAACCCCACACCCTAGCGGACAGATGAGTCGATAGGTTGGTGGTGCATCTACAAATGTCACAGTCGGAATAAGATCCCTAACTTGGAAAGAATCCCGGCACTGCAGAGCATGGTGGCCCACATTTTAATCCCAGCATTTGGGAGGTAGAAGCAGGTGGATCTCTGAGTTTGAGGCCAGTCTGGTTTACATAACGAGTTCCAGGTCATCCAGGGTTACATAGTGAGACCCTGTCTTAAAAAAATAAATAGTAATGACACCCTGTGCAGGACGTCCAGAAGCTCCAAACTTACCTGTCGACACTGATGCCAGAGCAGATTGGCTAAGGACAGAGGACAGAAGTTGAATAGAATTTTCGGGAAAATGAAAATGTTTAGCATCTTCCAGAAGGTCGAACTCATGTGCAGGTGTAGACACTTGTCAAAACGCACTAATTTACACTCAGATACATGTGTCTACATTTCCCCGCCGTTTGCAAACAACTGTGCACATCACAGACTGCAGAGGAAGCAGTCTTATCACTCAGCATAGAAAAGCTGAAGACTGTTTAACAGGAGTTTGCTGCACACAGTGCGAAGGTTTGGGGGAGAGGGTATGTTATGGAGGCCTGCAACCCTTTGGCGGGAGCTGCTCACTGGTCCATGGGAAAAGTCACAAGCAGAAGGAGCAGGGTCAGTCTGATGAGGGTTGCCTGGGGGATGCGTTCAGCCCCACAGCCAGAAGAGACTGGCCCTCACCAGGCCCCTGTGCTGGGCCTCATAAGGTCCTGATTCTTAGCCCTGCATGCACAGTGTGCTGAGAAACATGGTGGGATGGTTCCACAGTGGACCTTTGACACCTGTTGACACCCAGGATTAGCCATCACAACAGGCTATATGTCAACTTGACAGATCTAGAATCACCTTGGAAACAAATCTCTGGACATGGCTCTAAAGAATTACCTAGATTAGTTTAATTGGGGTGAGAAGACCCCACACTCTAAATGTGGACAACAGCATGGCATGGTCTGTGGTCCCAGACTGAATAAAAAGGAAAAAGCTAACTGAACAGGAGCATTCATCACCTTCTGATTCCCGACTGGAGGCAATATGACCTGCCAGCAGCCACACATCCCTGCTGCAAAGCCTTCCCCACCAAGGTGGACTTCCCTCCAGCCGTAAGTCAGAATAAACCCTTCCTCCCTTAAGTTGCCTCTTATCAGGTATTTGCTTACAGTGGAGGGAAAAGTAACTAATGTAGGGGACACCTCCAGTTTTACCAAGGATGCACCGATGAAGGGTAGAGAAGAGGAAGAGTTATATAACTGGGAGAAGGAAACCATTCCAGCAATCTTGAAAATCAAAGATCAAGAAACTTAAACAGCCAGGCATGGTGGCACATGCCTTTAGTCCCAGCACTCAGGAGGCAGAGGTAGGCGGATCTCTGTGAATTCACAACTCGGAAGCCTTAGAGCCTCAGGTCAGGCACCAAACTGCAAGTTATCAACATCCATTATGTCAGAAAGTGGTAGAAATCAAACTTTTTTTTTTTCTTTTACGACTAGGCTCACAAAGCTGAGGCTGGTCTTAAATTTCTGATCCTCCTGCCTCTACCTCCCAAGTGCTGGGATGACATGAGCATGCCACCACACCCACCAAGATTTCTTAAAGTAAGGCAGATTGAGCTTCAAGATCATTTGCCAAAGCTGAGTCAGCCTCTGAGTCACTACATTCAGAGGCTACTGGGAAACTAGGCTATGGTGACATAGGCTGAAATCTCAGCTACTGAGGAGACTCAGGAGGACCACAAATTCCAGGCCAGCCTAGGCTACAGAGAGCAACAAAACAACAGTGCAAAACACATGCTGTGATCATATCAGGGACTATTGCATCTCCTTCATTCAGTTGTGGTACAAATCATGCATCAGCTTTCTACATGTAAGACTTCTGTGATGTCAGTAACAGTTTGGCCACATTGCCAGATGAAATTTTTATACTTGAGTCTGGGTCTGGCCTTTGGAGATGTGTTGCTCCAATTTTCAATGCAGAAGGAAGAGCTAATAGAAAATGAAATCTACTGACTACAAAATACCATCACAGGGGCTTAAATGGAACAGAAGCCAGGAGATTGTTGACTATTGACTTCAAATGTCAGAATGACAGAAAGAGAACTTGATGGAAACCTACCGCAGACATTCAGAAAACCTAAGCAACTGCGAAGAAAGGACTGAGGGGTTGGAAAACGTGTTTCAGTGAAATGACTCCGGAGTTGAAGTCACAGATCTCTAAAATTCAAGTCATTCCAAAAAGCTGTCTGGAGCCGGAGAGATGGCTCAGTGGGTAAAGGCACCCACGCCAAGCCCATTGACCTGAATTCTATCCCTGGGACCCATGTGATAGAAGTAGAGAACTGATTGTCACAAGTAGTCCCCTGACCTCCACATGCACGCTGTGGCATATGGACACACACACACACAAATAATGTAGTAAAACAATTTAAAAAAAAAAAAGCTTATCCACAAAGTAGAATCTACCCCCGAAACTAAAGAGCTTGAAAACAGCATTAAAAACGAGTAAAATATTATGTTCTGCAGAAAATAACAAATAAGACTTGACATAGGAATAAGAGCTGATCTATATGCAAGAGAAACAGAGAATTGAATGTAGATGTTGAAATTACAGACTTTAAATAATGGAGCAAAGTGATACAGTGACAGATGAGGAAAGACCCAAGAAGCTTAAAGACGTTCAGAGCTAGCAAAGGAATTAAATATGCTTGAGAAAAAAAATGAAAATTTATAGCCAAGCACAGTGGAGAAAGCCTTCCACCCATGAAAGAGGCAATTACCCAAAAGAAGAAGTGAAACTTCTCAGGAACAGAGTGGAATAGCACCTGCAGCTGAACAGAAAATGCCAGACACTGGCGGAACATGATGAAGATAGATGCTCAGGGAGGAAATCAAACATGCAAAAATCGATAAATATAAAAAACAGTAAGATGTCCCTGCTTCAGTTTTTACAAGGCAAGGGACAGGCAGGGGATGGATTTAAATATCAGCACAAGGGGGCTAGAGAGATGGCTCAGCAATAAAGAACACTGGCTGCTATTGCAGAGGACCTGGGTTCAGTTCCCAGCACTCACATGGTGGCTAACAGCCATCCATGGATCCGATACCCTCTTCTGACCTCTAAGGGAATTGCACAACATGGACGCACTAACATCCATCCATGCTTGCAATACATTCATACACATAAAATTAATAAAATATTAAAAATAAAGACAGCATGAGCAATAACAATCTCATATACCCAGTTCTTTTCAGAGAAAGATGAAGAAATTAAAAATTCTCAAAACGTGGCAAGGGATGTAGCTGAGTTGCCTAGCATGCACAAGGCCCGTGGCTCGATCCTCAGCACTTCATACGCTGGCCATGGTGACACAGGTCTATAATCCCAGTCCTTGAGAGATCGTAGGAGAAAGGTATGGAATTCAAAAATTATGCTTGGCTACATAAAAGGTTTGAGGCTGAGCCTAGACTCAACTTGTAAATGAAAAGAAAAGAATGTGTCTTTCAGTAAACAGGCTGATCCAAGATGAACTTGGTCTACTAAGTCATCTGGAGTTGACTGAGATTGGAAAGTGGAAGTTCTTCACATTAGTTTAGTTTCATCTGCTCACACCTGGGCCATGGCTCACCTTCAGTAGCAACTGCAGATGTGTGCTCTGGAAAGAGAATACATGTCGGCCACTTGGGCTGAGAAGTCTGGGAGCACGTAGCTACCTAAACCAAGAGTGTAGGGCTGGGCATGTAGCTAGTGTGCTTGCTACTATGTGTAAGACTCTGAATTCTGTTCCCCTTACCACAAAAATCTGTTAAATAAATTTTTTTTTAAATGTCACCAAATGATATCATTTTTGTGAAAGAAGCAGCCCTTGTCAGGCTGTAAGATGAAATAAGTTTTCTGGGGGCTAGAGAGATGGCTCAGCAGTTAAAGGACTGACTGCTCTTACAGAGGACACAGATTCAATTCCCAGCGCCCACATAGCGGCTATGAACCATCCTTAACTCCAGTTCCAGGGAAATCTGATTCCCTCTTCTGACCTCTGAGACACTCATACTAATAAATTTTTTTTTTTTAAAGAAGTTTTCTGCTAGACTACAAAGCAGTGGCCAAAATATGCTTAGAGAACCCATGCAGAATTAATCACATCGAGGCTGGAGAGATAGATGGCTCTGCAGTTAAGACTACTGGCTGCTCTTGCAGAGGACCTGGGTTTGGCCGCCAGCACCCTCATGGTGACTATCATCTGTAACTCCAGTTTCAGGGAATCCAAAGCCCTCTTCTGGTCTCTGAGGATATTGCATGACACAGTGAACTTACATACACACAGGCAAAACACACACATACAATAAATTTTTAGAAACTTTTAAAAAGAATTGATCACATCTCATTTGAGAGAAAGACATGGAAACAGGTGCGTTGATTCAGAAATGTTTGACTTTGCTGGGAGTTTTGCAAACACACACCACTGATGGTGAGATTTAGAGAGG